AAAAAAAAAAAAAAAAAGGTAGAACAATGCCGCAAGGATGGTATCATTGACTCTATCTAACAGATGAGAAAAGTAAAGTGTAATAGGTTTAAAGAACTTGCTCAAAGTTCACACGACCAGTTTGGTGGTCGAGCCAACGCCCTGAAGCCTATGCTCTTTCCACCGTATTTTGCTGCTTTCCCATCAGCAACTAAAAAAGTGACATGAAAACAAAGTTTCTTAGACTTGTCCTTGGCTGTATTTAAAGAAAGGCCATTTTTTTTTCTATTTAATATGAATGCATTAAGCTATACAGCCAATTAAAAAAACTGCGGTAGATCTGTAAAAGCAGGGACTTGGTCTGTTTTGTTCACTGCCGTATTTCCAACGCCTAGAACAGTGTCTGGCAAATCGGAAACAACCAACAAATACGTGTTGAATGTATACATCGGCATGGAAAGAGCATTTCCACAACCCCTGAATCTTCTCTTATACCCCTTTCTAACTGATCCCCATCCCTTAGAAGCAACCACCATGCTTATGACTATAGATTAGTTTTACCTGTCCTTGAATTTCATATAAATGAATTCATACATCTGTACTGTTTGATGTCTGACTTCTTTTGCTCAACAATGTTTTTGAGGTTTCTTTATGTTGTTATGTGTATCAGTACTTATTCCATTGTTTGAATATACCATAGTTTGCTTACCCATTCTTCTTTTGATGGACATTTGGAATATTTCTGATTGGGGGATTTTATTTTCTTTCTTTCTTTCTTTTTTTCTTTTTTGAGACAGGGTCTTGCTCTGTCTCTGGGGCTGGAGTCCAGTGGCATCATTACAGCTCACAGCAACCTCAAACTCCTGGGCCCAAGCAATCCTCCTGCCTCAGCCTCCCAAGTAGCTGGGACCACAGGCCCATGCCACCATACCGGCTAATTTTTCTATTTTTTGTCAAGACAGGCTCTTGTTTTTGCTCAGGCTGGTCTTGAACTCCTGGCCTCAAGCAATCCTCCTGCCTCAGCCTCCCAAAGTGCTAGGATTACAGTCGTGAGCCACCGTGCCAATTGGGGGATATTATGAATAAAGATCTTGAGAGCATTCCTGTACAAGCCCTTTTTTTTCTTTTCTTTCTTTTTTTTTTTTTTT